TGAGTTTTCTAAATTGTTTGACTGTTGACACAAAAATTATAATATTTGATGTAATTAAAATTATATGTAGAGAGAATATTTATTATATTATAAATAAAAGAGAGCAAAGGGACACAGGAAAGTAAGGTTTCTAAATCTACCAAGAAGACATAGGGATCTTAGATATATATCAAGAATAGAGCCATAAAATATTGTATATGAAGTGAAAACTGCTAGAAAAAAACCTGACAAAAGTGAAAGGAGAAATAGACAAATCTATAATTTTTTTTTGTACCAGGGATTGAACTCAGGACCTTGCACTTGTGAGGCAGACATGGTGGCACTGAGCTAAATTCCCGTCACAAGAGGGTAAGTCTTAATAATCTAAGCTCCCACCCCAATGACCTAGAAAAAGAGCAAAATAAAACAAAAGCAAGCAGAAAGAAGGCAATAAGTGCAGAAAGTTATGAAATTGAAAGCAGTAGGTCAATAGAGAAAATCCAACAGGCACTTCTTTTTAAAAGATTAATGAAATGGATAAACCAAAAAGACTGACAAAGGAAAAAAAAAGAGAAATTTATTTTTCATATTAGGGATGAAACAGGGTAATCCAGGCCCTGCAGACATTAAAAATAACAAGGAGATAATATGACCAACTCTCCACATTTTTTTAAAAACACAAACTACCATAACTCACCTTATATTAAATAATTTGAGTAGCACTATGAATATTAAGGACATTAAATTTGCAACTCAAATTCCCCCAAAGAAACTGCAAGCCCAGGTTAACACATTTAAAGAACTAATGCCAACTGAGCATAATATTTTGCAGAAAATATAGGAAGAAGGAACACCTGCCTGTTCATTTTATGAAAGTAGTCTTGGGGACGAAAAACTATTTTTAAAATTTTTATTAGTACATTTGTAGTATATAATGATTACATTCGGTGTGGGGGGTTGGTACATGTACATAACACATTTTCATTCTTTTTACTTCCTCCTCCCCTCTTACCATCCCCATATTTTAGTCCCCTTCCCATTTGCAAAAGATCTATCTTGAGGAGGAAAAACTTTACTTCTTTTGTTCAGTGTATGAGGGCTGACAAAAGATAAACGAAATCAGCAGAGCATAGAAGAATTCAACACCACCACTAACCAACAGGACCTAATTAATCTTTTTTCTTTTAATAGAAAACTTCTCTAAAAGACTTATTTGTATATATGCTGGAGTTAACAAAAAAGTGGCTAGTTTGCTAAGTGATTAAAGTGTGAGGTTTATATACCTAACTGAGTAGGGACAACAGTGGGGAGACAAAGTTTTTATGGAAAGAATAGATTTTTTGGGGAAAGACAATGAATTTTGGGCAGAACAGTAGATAAGGGATTATGGTAACTGTTTAGTCAGTGCAAGTGGTATTGCAGTCTTCTTCATGCTATGAAATTCCCCCGGAGAAGAAATTTACGGGAGCCTCATTTTGCAGAAGTTGCTTCTCTTAGTTAAGGAAGGCTTTCAGCAGGCATCTTTCTACACCTAACTTTGGGGATCTGAGTGTGTGCCCTGTACTAGCACTATCCTAATGTCCAAACCAGACAAGGACAGTACAAAAATACACTGCACACAAAAATTACTTAAAATGGAACAAAAAACTAAACTTAAAACCTAACACTGTAAAACTCTCAGAAGAAAACATAGGGGACAAGCTCTATGATATTGGATTTGGCAATAACTTCTTGTTGATGACATCAGAAACACAGGCAACACAGGAAAAAATAAGCACACTGAACTCACTAAAGCTAAAAAGCTTTGTGTATCAAAGGACATTATCAACAGAAGGAAAGGCAAACCCCAGCGTGGTAGAGAATATAAATCACACGTAAAGAATTACATGTGGTAAATCACATGAAAAGAATTCCTAAAACTCAACAACCACCACCAAAACACCCCAAACAGTTCAGTTAAAAAATAGGAAAAGAGTGAGCAGTGGGACATGTCTAATCTCTGCCACTTGGTGAGGCAGGAGGATTCCAAGTCCAAGCCAGACTGGGCAACACAGCCATGGCTCATCTCAAAGATCAGTGAATAAAAAAATAAAAAGAGCAAAGGACTTCAACAGACATTTTCTTCAAAGAAGATATACAAATAGCCAATAAACAAGACAAAATGTTCAATATTACTTATCATTAGAGAAATGAAAATCATAGCTATAATGAGATAACCCTTCACACCCACTAAGGTGGCTATTATAAACCGAGACAGAGGAAGAGAAAGAGGGCGGAGGGAAACGAAAATGGAGAATGTGGAGGAATTGGAACACTTGTATACTGCTGGTAGTAGGAATGTAAAATGGTACTGCAGCTGTGTAAAATAGGATAGTTCCTCAAACATGTAAATAGAACTTACAATATGACACAAGAAATTCTACTTCTGAATATATACCCGTAAGAATTGAGAGCAGGTATTCCATAGATTATCTGTACACTTATATTCATGGCAGCACTATTTATAGCAGTCAAAGGGTGGAAACAACTCACTGGGCATGCATACCTGTAATCCCAACTACTGAGTACACTAAAGCAGGAGGATCACAAGTTCTAAGGTAGCCTGGGTAACTTAGGAAGACTGTCTCAAAATAACAAAAAGGGCTGGGGATGTAACTCTGTCTAGAAGGGTTGGCTAGCATCCAGGAGGGCATGGCTCCAACCTCATGTGTGAAAATAAACAATTTTAATGTCCTCTGATGGATCATTGATATACACAATGTGGTATTATTCAGCCTTACAAAGGAATTAAATTCTGAGACACACTACATCATGAATGAACCTTGAAGACATTACACTATATGGAATAAGCCAGCACAAAAGGATCACACTTATATGAGGTCCCTAGAATGGTAGATTCATTTTTTATGAATCTTTTGCATACATTTTTTATTACCTCCCAACCCCAATGGAGTCTTTCCATGTTGTGCAGGCTGGCCTCAAACTCTTGGGCTCAAGAGATCCTCCAGTCCTTAGCCTCCTTAGCAGCTGAGACTACAGGTGGGTACCACCTGGCCCTAGTCCTCCTACCTTTTATAGATAGGGATTAATAATTCTGACTTGACAGGAGAGGATACCCTTAGGAGATGCTTAGAAAAACACATTAGGAATCTAATGATCCCATGCCTTAGGCGTAAAATACATTTTGCTGTTCTTTTCCTTGTTTTAAGAAAACACCTTATATTTTCAGGGGAAAAATTATTTGGCAGATTTATTTCTGCTAGAATTTAGAAAGTGTGTTTGAGCTGGCACGGAGACAGAATTACAGAATTTGAAAATCAATTTGGATTTGAAGTCAGTTAATACATACAGAAGCTGAATCAAAGCACTCTGGGAGGCTGAGTCAGGAGGATCATAAATTCAAACCCAGTGTGGGCAATTTAGCAAAACCTGTCTCAAAATTAAGAATGAAAACAGGGCTGTTGCTCAGTGTGAAAGCATTGGGTTCAATCCCTAGTATTGCAAACAAACAAAAAATAAAACAAGAAAAGTGCTAAAAACGTGTGGCAGAAACTATATCTCAATAAATCATAGTTCCTACAAAAAGCCAACATCAAAATAAAACAAAAACTAAAAAACAAACCAAAAGTTCCTATTGCTATCACTCTCTTTCGCATGTATATTATGAGAGTCTACTGCCCTAGTTTTTTGAACGCAAAATGGCACATATGTTTGAGGTACACAGGCAAAAATTCCAAAACAAACAAAAACTCTCCTCTTTGGACAAGCTGCTACAACAGGTTTCTAGCAGCAAGCTAGGCTGGTGCGGATCAAGTTAGATAAGGTATTTACAAGCAGCTTAGTAACTATTAGTGTTAAATCGTGGGAGACGTTAATAGTACTGGGACTAAGATGAAATATTTGGTTCCTAGCTTTATTGCCTAGCTACACAAGACCTCAGACAAGTCAATCTCTCTGTTACCAGTTACTTCATTTATCAGATAACTTCAGAAGACTACGAGACTACGACAATTAAACGTCTTTCACCTAGAGGAATAATATTTGGATGGCACAAAAGAAGCAACACCCTGTCATTTGATTGATAAACATCTTAAATTTATTTGGAAAGTGCATCACACACATTTGCAGGGTAGGTGTATGAAATAACTTTTAATTCTTAAGTTTTTATTGGTACATTTTAGGTATACAATACATTTACATTTATCACTGGATGTTTGTACCTGTACATGATGTATCTTGATTCTTATTTTTTCCCCATTACCTGTGCGCCCTTCACCCCCTCCATCCTTCCCTATTTACAGAGACATCATTTCCATTTTTCTCTTTTCTCATAATTTTTCCTTTCCCTTCTTTCCTTTCCCCTTCCCCTCCCTTCACCCCCTACCTCTTTGGACCTTTTTTCCTATTTCAAATTATCAATTATTCATTTTAACCCTTATTTACACTTTCTTAAAGGACAAACAAGACACTTTTACAGTGCTTGCCTCAGGGAAGAGGAATTAGGTATTAGTTGAGCAGAAGATAAACTTCATGGCACACGCTTAAAAATCAAGTTAATTAAAAAACACGTAAGAGAATCATACAAAGGCATTAAAATTAAAGAGATGTGCACGGAGGAAAATTTTGCTCCTAATCCATCCTCTACTCACATAGTCCTACACGTAGCTTTATTTCCTTGAGTAATTTTTGCAAAAACCAATGCATCAATCCTCTACTTCTACATGAGGACTGCATTCTTTCTACATTCTTCTGCCAGCGTTTTATGCACACTCTTTTTTGCCATGAAGCAATCCGTCCCCACCCGCCACAGCACAGAACTAACACGAGCGTATCAGCGGATACCGCCCCTTAACCCTCCTTCGTCGGGCCCACGTGCTCTCAAGGCCCCCTTCCGGGGCTGTCCGGCGATGCCTATCCGGAAGAACCAGCCCGAAGCCCCGCCCACTCTCCCCTCGCTGGCCTCTGGACGCCAGTCTCTGCTCATGACTCGGCGCACGGCGCCTCAGGCAGTGCGCCGGACAGCCTGGCCTCTTGCGCGCCGGGGGCCTCGGAGGACCCCAGCGACAGCTGTGGCGTAGAGCCGGGTGGACGCGGCGGCGGCGCCTGGAAGAGATTGCACCGGTTGCCTGTGGGACGCACTTCTGTGGTAGCTCTCGCCACACTGGCTGATTGCTGTGTACCTGGAGCCATGTCTGTGAGCGAGATCTTCGTGGAGCTTCAGGGCTTTTTGGCTGCCGAACAGGACATCCGAGAGGCGAGCCCCCTTCGTCTTATACTCTTTCCCCTCCTAGCTGGGGGCCCCCGCCTGGCCCTCCACCGTCGCTCATTCTAGGGCAGTGGAGAAGCCTCCGAGGGTGGTTTGCTTCCTCTCTAGTTTCAGGTTAGGGCGCCTCTCCTCCCCCGCTCCCGCCCCCAGTTCTGCTTCTCTGTCCTGATTCTGTGTTATGGGTCTCGGCTTCTCAGCATCACTTGCCTCTTTTGAGTGTCACTTTTCCTCCTTTTCAGCACTTGTTTATGTCGAAGATTGGGTTAATGCATAGGACTCAGCCAGTGCATATTTCCTGTATTTGTTGTTGCTGTCCTAAAAGCACGTTTCATTCAAACTCTTTCCCTCTTTCAAACTGTCCCGTGGTTTTCCATCCCAAATAGGATAAAAATACAGACTGTAGTGTAGTCCCCATGGTCTCTCTCAAGTCTCGTTTTACGGTATTTTCTCTTGGGTATGTATGCGTACAAAGGAATATATTTATGTTTTCTTATTGAACACTTCAGCTCCTTTTTGTTCTTCTACTGCCCCAGATAGTTTCCTGTCCCAGGACTCTTGCATGTATTGTTCGCTTCTTGGGAATTTGCGTCTTTCCTGTTCCTTTAATCCTTATTTCGTATTTGTCTCCTTGACCCCACAATTGAAGTGGCTTCTTCTGTTATGTTTTCTTTTAGCACATTAACCTTTCAATAACTTTGATGGTTTTTTAAAGTCTCCCATTATATGCCAGAGAGCCCGAGGGAAAGGACCCCTATTTATACAGTGCTGAGCACATAAATATACTCATTGAGTATTTGTAAAATGAATTAATGGAAAATATCCAACCTTTGTGTTGCATTTAACTCTTCATATCATAAAGTGCATTCACATGGTTATGTATTCTAGTCATTGTGTTCTGGTTAGATAATTGGGGTGGGTGGGTAGCTAGTATCCTTCGAAGGCTGTGAGAAGAATTTTTAAGGCTTTTTAGTGACTTTCTGAAGGTCTCATAGAGGAAATCCGTGGAAAAATCAGAATTCAAACCTTTTTTTTTTTTTTAATACAGGTTCAGTCCTTGTGAAGCTCCTTAGTGTTTTGAATGTATATGAAAGTGGTAGATTAAATATATTATGCTATCTAGTGTGATTGGTATGAGTCTGTGATAACGATTATGTTGACTTTGTCTGACTTTAATTTTTAATTCTTTCTAGGAAATCCGAAAAGTTGTACAGAGTTTAGAACAAACAGCTCGAGAGATTTTAACTCTACTGCAAGGGGTCCATCAGGGTGCTGGGTTTCAGGACAGTAAGTTCTTTGAGTAAACTTTTATCTGATTTATTCATCTCTTATTTGAGTTTCATCCAGAAGATATCCCTAGTTTAAATGATTTTATTATGATAAATGTTCATTATGTTTATGTAGAGTAAAAATTAGAGTAGTACTAGTTTAATCATTTTATAGGTTTAAAATGTGTTTTGATTTTCTACTTTTGAATAATGTAGTTTAAATAGGAATGTTTTATAGTGTGATGGAATTGTATTGACATTAATTAGTTATTTAATAACTTTTACATATCTAACAACTTTTATTTGGTGGTCGTGCGTGCACGCGTGCGTGTGTGTATATATGTGTGTATATGTCTGTGTGTGTTTGAAATGGTGTCTGGCTATGTTGTTCAGATTAGTCTCGAACTCCTGGGTGCAAGTGATTTTCCCACCACAGCTTCCTGTGTAAATGGGTGCGGGCCACTGCACCCAGCTTATGTGTTTGAATCCAAACTTCTAATGATTGAATAACTATTGTATGCATATGTAGATATGAGGTGGCCAGTGTAAAATGTTCTCTAATGAAGTTATGGTCAGCCCCTTAAATGAGAGTCAAATATATCAAGTTTAGACATGGAACCTATGTTGTAAAATATATGATAGCTAAAACAACTGAAATTATTTTCAGATGGAGAGAAATACAATGTAGTTTATAGTTGTCAGCAGCAAGTCATTTACTCTGAGTTGGTTCATTTGATAGAGAATAATTGGTAAAAGTTTTTTTTGACCAAATGTGGGAGCTAGGAGTCCAACTTTAGGCATCTTCTTAGGACTGAATAGGAAAGCAACTGATGTGCAGCCTCTTAAGGATGGAGTTATTTATGACACCTTACAAATTACCAGTGTCTTTATTAACACACCTTTTCAGGGAGTTTTTATTTTTCAGTATGGTTAATCAGGGAAATTAGGTGTAGGATTTTGACAGCCAAGATGTGTATTTGGTTGTGAGATTAAAAAAAAAATTAGCTAATTTTTAGGTAGACTACAGATTTAGCAAGAACTGTATTTGAAATTTGCTAAGTTTTTAATTATTATGTTTGATTATCTTTTGTGGTCAGTTCCAAAGAGGTGTTTGAAAGCTCGAGAACATTTTGGGACAGTGAAAACACATCTAACATCATTGAAGACCAAGTTCCCTGCCGAACAGTATTACAGGTTTGTAAGAAAAATAGCATTATTTTGTAATATTAGGTTAAAAAACAGCTGAAGAAAAACTACAGATACTGAATGATTACTTATCACTAAATAAAAATCTCTGTGTGTAGAAGAAATGGTAAAAAGAATCATGCTAATGGTGGCAACAAAACTGATAATTTTGTTTTTCTCCATTTTACTTTGAAAAAAATTTTAAGGAACGTGCATTACTTGTGCAGTGAAAAAGTGATTAAGAAAGTATCTGTTGTTTGAAGATCAAAATTTAGAATATCTTTTTACTATACTCAAGTTTCCTATGCAATCGAGTGAACTATGCTTATGCTATAAAGCAGTGACAGCGAACCTTTTAGAGCTTTCAGTGATAACAAACAGCCTGCTGCAGTACGTGTGCTGTAGGTTTACCACCACTGCTAGAAAGATTATAAGATTAGGTGGCAGTATATATATGGAGTTGAGGTTGGTTTTCTTTTTGTGTGTGGGTGTGCTGGTGATTGAACCCAGGGCCTTGTACATCCTAAGCAAGTGCTGTACTATTGAACTACATCCCTAGCCATTTTTTAACTTTTGAGACAAGGTCTTGCTAAGTTGCCCAGGCTGGTCTTGAATTTGAAATCCTCCTACTTCAGTCTCCTGAGTAGCTTGGATTACAGGCATGTACTGTGTCTGGCTATCCAGTTGAGGTTCACTTCAGAGATTGAATTTTGCTGCCAAAGGACATAATAGTATTTAGATAATGTTTTAGACTAGTCTTGAACCCCTGGGTTTAAGTGATCCCTCTGCCTCAACCTGCTGAGTGCTGAGATTGTAAGCATTCACCTCACTGACCAGTGGTACCCTAAGTTTTAAAGTCCTCTGTTTAGTGATTGCAAGTGATAATTCTGTGAGTCAAGATTTTCTTGATATCCTAAACTTGAAGTCTAGGGATAGGTTGGATTTGGAGGCTGATACACAATTATAGTTGGCATCAGTCTTTACTTGCAAAGTTTTATTTTTCTCAGAGCAGTATCATTATTCTTACAGATTAAACTTCTTTTATTTTTGGTACCGGGGATTGAACTCAGGACCTTGTGCTTTCGAAGCAGGCGGTGGAACCACTGAGCTAAATCCCTGGCCCCTGGATTAAACTTCTTAAGCACATTGTCCTGTCATTCATAATCTTTAATTGTAAATTTTCATAATCATCAAAATTAGATTGTGTTTCTCATTATTACTGATAATTAAATGTTACCAGTTTGAACTTGTAAAATTCCATGCCTGTTCCATTTGATATGTTTGAATATCTTGTTACTCTTACATGTTTTATGTAGTAGGATTTTACATAAGATTTTATTTGAAAGTATCCCATTTCCAAGCTGTTTAGATATGACTGTACTGAACCCATCTTTGAAGGTCCCAAACCTCACAGTATAAATATACTTATTGTCCTGCAGGTTTCATGAGCACTGGAGGTTTGTGTTGCAGCGCTTGGTCTTCTTGGCAGCATTTGTTGTATATTTGGAAACAGAAACACTAGTGACCCGAGAAGCAGTTACAGAAATTCTTGGCAGTAAGTGTCTCCATTGGTGGGATCTACAGAATCAGGCATGATAGCTTAGTTTTTGGTGGGAGGAGCTGTTGCTTGTACTTTCTATTAAAATAAATGAAAACTAAATAGAAAACTTTTTTCTTGGAAACACAAAATCTAAAAGAGTAGCTTGGTCACTTATATGTAGGTGCTTCTTTTTCGCTTAAAATTTAAAAAATTTTCAAGCTGGGCATGGTGGCAGCATGTCTGTAATCCCAGCACTTGGGAGGCTGAAACAGGAGGATCTCAGCGAGTTTGAGGCTAGCCTGGGCTACATAGTTCAAGGCCAGCCTGAACTACATAGTGAGACCCTATCTCAAACACTTCCCCCTCCCAAAATTCTAGTATCCAGAAAAGTTGAAAGAATAATATAACAAACACCTATTTGTAGCTGCTTAGAGTCACTACTTGTTAACAATTGCCTGCTCTTCTCACTTTGCATGTGTCTGTATAACTATTTGGAAAAGTGTATAGATTTCATGGGCTGGGGATTTAGCTCAGTGGTACCACTGCCTGCCTCGAAAGCGCAAGGTCCCAAGTTCAATCTCTGGTAACAACAACAAAAAAAGCATACAGATTTCATGACTTCTTTTGAAACTGCTTTAGCTTGTATCTTCTAACAAGAAGGATGTTTTCTGACATAACTAGGTACTGTTCTTGCTGGCATTACTTTTTGAGAGGGACTAGAAGTAAAAATTGAATTTTGGTTAAATGCTTGCAAAGTCTTCGTTGAGGTCTACTTGCCAAAGGTGTGAACATCTTATGAAGCCAGTAAAGATTTATCTTTTCTTCACTTACTTTGAAAGAATTTTTTTTTTGTACATGTGTGCATGCGTGTGTATTTGTATTTATATAAATATGTATTTATATTCTTAGTCTTAAATTGCATTCACATTATGATTTTGCCTTTATTTTGGTATTTTTTAGTTGAACCAGATCGAGAGAAAGGTTTTCATCTGGATGTAGAAGATTATCTCTCAGGAGTTTTAATTCTTGCTAGTGAACTGGTAAGACACTCAGTAATTTGCTGCATGCTTTCTTAATCTTCATGCTTTGCACTAATTTTTAAATGGGTACTAAAACTTAGGAAGCCTCAATTCTTTTTTTTTTTCAACCGGGGATCAAACTTGGGACCTTGCTCTTTCGAGGCAGGCAGCAGAACCACTTAGCTAAATCCCTGGCCCTAATAGTTCACTCTTTCTTTTTTTTTTTTGGTACCAGGAATCGAACTTGGGTCCTTGTGCTTGCGCAGCAGGCGGCGAAACCACTGAGCCAAATCCCCGGCCCTCTCAATTCTTTTTTAAATCATCTGTCAGTCATGACTGCATTATGGTTTAATAGGCATCAAAGAAATGCCAGTTGAAATGATGACAGCTGTGCACATTTACTAATATATAATTTTATTTATTTTTTTGGAGGTACTGGGGATTGAACTCAGGGACTTGCATATGCTAAGCATGTGTTCCACCATAGAGTTACATACATCCCAGTTTTGTAAAAATTTTTTTTTTTTTCAGACAGAGTCTCAGTAAGTTGCTATGTTAGCTTTCCTGTTGCAACTTAAAGGAGGAGAGATTTATTTTGACTCACAGTTTCCCTGGGTTCAGTCCATGGTTGAACAGCTCCAAAGCAGAAATGGCATGATGGAAGGGCCTGGTAGAGGAAAGCTGCTCCCATCATGGCAGCCAGGAAGCAGAGAGAGAAGGGAGGAGCCAGGAACAAGTATATGCCCTTCCATGTCTGCCCTCAGTGACCAACCTCTTTGAGCCAGATCCCGCCTTTGGACAGCACAGTCAGCTCTGAACTCAACAGTGGACTGATTCAGTGATGAGTGTCAGTGCCCCATGATCCTGTCACCTTTCAGGAGGTGACTGAACTGGAAACTTTCAGGGGGCATTTTAGATCTAAACCATAGCAGTTGCCCTGACTAGGCTTGAACTTGTTCCTCTTCCTGCCTCGTCTCCCAGGTAGCTGGAATTATATGCATGAACTCCTGTGCCTAATCTATGAATTTTTAAAAGTTTATAATACCTCTTCCTCTAAATATACTGACAAGACATGTATTCCTGATAAGTGTGTTAATTCATGTAATGATTTTAGATAATAGCTAATTTATATAATTGTATAAGATACTGTTATCCTTTTTAAGTTGTTCTTATTCTTCATTCCCTGAATCCCTCTTAGGAAATTTTTCTGTAAAAATAATTTTACAGAATAAAGAAAGCTCAATAGAGTGTTGAGTAGTTGTGACAGACTGTGAAACTGCTGAAGTGAACATGTTTTACTCTCTGGCTCTTTACAAAGTACACCTAGTCTTGCTCAAGAGAAAGTATTCCAGGGCTAGTATAGTGCTTCTTTAATTTTTTGGCCCTGTATTCTTCTAGCTTGTAGCTTCTTTCTCATGCTCCAAAACTTGTTGTGTCTCTGATGATTCACGTCTTCATTCCACAATAGATGAATTAGGTAAAAAGGGTGGATCCTCACTTCAAGGATGTTTGTCTCAAGCTCTATGCACAGCTCATATTTGACATTGTAGTGCCTTGGGGCTGGGGATTCAACTGAGTGATAGAGTGCTTGCTTAGCATGTGCAAGGTCCTGAGTCCCATCTCTAGCACTGCCCGCCCCCGCCACGCCAATGCTAGTGCTTTGTTGGTAGGGGAGGAAGTGGAGTCTATTGGGGCAGGCATGTAGGTGGTGAAAATTTGAGGAATTTGGACTGAGGAAGGTAGGGAAAAATGGTACTGGGGCCCACTGGCAGGCTATGCCACTTGCCTAAGGCTTGTTGGAGATATCAGACCGGTAAACTTGAATTCTAACCCTTTACCAGTGTAAGTGTAAAGTGAGGTGTCTTTAATACCACATATGCTGTGAATGCATTAAATGGTTAGATTAGGGAAGCTTGGAAGTGGGGGGGTTTATGGTGAAGAGGAATTTTGAGTTGGGTCTTGAAATTAGTCTTACTGTTGTTCAAGACAGTGTTGGACTGAATTAAGTTTAGCTTCTTTTCCTGTGTCTTAGTGATTTTAGGTGACTGGAGTTGCAGCTCAGCAAGTGAGCTCTAGAAATGTGATCATTTCTAGATTCAAGAAGTTAGAGCTGTTGTGATTACCCTGACATTTCTTTCTTCTGGACATTAGCTGATGAGCTGTAAAGTTGACGCTTCCTAATTTAACACACTTTATGGTACAGTAGCCAGTTTAAGACATTACAGAAATTTTAGAAGACATTAATCATACTAAACCTGTATTTGACAGGAAATATCTCCTTCCACATGAGAGTCTTTTCAAAGAAGCTTCCGTACTGGCTGTCTTACACCTGCCCTGAGCTGAGAACATCAGAGTAGCTGTCACAGCTTGAGGTTCTAGTTGTTGTGACTTGGGAAGATGCTAAAGAGGAGCCACATTGTAATGCCCGTTTTTCTCTTCCTGTGCAGTCAAGGCTGTCTGTCAACAGTGTGACTGCTGGAGACTACTCCCGGCCCTTGCACATCTCCACCTTCATCAATGAGCTAGATTCCGGTTTCCGCCTTCTCAACCTGAAAAACGACTCTCTGAGGAAGCGTTATGATGGCTTGAAGTATGATGTGAAGAAAGTAGAGGAGGTGGTTTATGATCTCTCCATCCGGGGCTTCAATAAGGAAACAGCAGCAGCTTGTGTTGAAAAATAGGAGGCTCTCCCTGCTCCTGGCCTTGCTGACCCAGCAGTTGCCAGGGATGGGTGAGCACAGAGTGCCTCTTTCCGTAGTTAGGATGCCCAGTTGCTAAGCACTGTGCTTTATTTTCTTAATCAGTTGTGTGCTGTGAGTACCAGAATCAAAACACTTTTGGGAGTTAAAATAATTAGCCTTTACACGGACAGAGTTTTCATTGTTGTTTTGGTGAATTTGCTCTGTAATTTGTTGTATTTCAGTTTTGTCAAAGAGTGTAAATGTCAGTTTCTTGGTAAAGTCCTTTTCTTGCTTACTCTGACTGTTGATGTACTGATTGAGAATTTATTGTGTCATCTGTGATTCTTCCAGAAGTGACACTTAATATTTTCTATATTCACGTTGGCCATCCATTCCCAGGTGTAGCCTGGATACAGTATAAAAATAGGTAATTAAAAAGGATGGTGACAAGCAAAGAGAACATACTTTTTTCTTCCTTACTTTAAGCTTTGTGAGTAAATCAGATGTTGAATTTTTTGCCAAGGGAATTATAGCCCTGGTTTCTTTCTCACTGCCATCAAAATCTAAAAGATTAAATTGCAAAATCAAGCTCCAACAGATTATTTTGGAAGATTTTTGTATTACGGGATTTAGTAACATCTTAATTGGTTATACCAGGTGGGGAGTTGGGCTTGATGTTCTAAAACACCTCTGCTTTCTGATGTTGCCTTAACATTCTGCTGTTGCAGCAATTAAAATAGTCTTCACACACATCTTGAACTGACACTTAATGTGATATATTCTTAATCTATGAAACGTTTTCCCTAGCAGCCAGCTAGACCAATTGGTCTGGGACTATAAAGCTATCCTTACGTGTTAATTAGCAATACCTCAGTGAGTATGTTTTTAAAGAATAATGTTATGCTTGGTCTTGAAGAAAGATAAAACATCAGCTTAAAATTTTTTCTTAGTGCCCCCATTTCCTCCCCACTTTCAGATAATAATGAGACCTTGCCATGTAACTCTTGCTGTTGAATTGAAATTACTAAAATGGTGACTTAGGCTGGGTTGTAGCTCAGTGGTAGAGCACTTGCATAGCATGCCCACCCGTACAATGGTGACTTAATTCACAGTTCTTTGGCACTCTCTGAAAGGAAGTTGCTAATGTTTCCAGAATAATATGAAGTATTCAAAAATATTACTGTTTCTTGCCTAATACCAGTTTGGGCTTCCTCTTTGTGCGATGGGATATTTGCCATTGCTTTCATAGCTTTGACCACACCAAATTAAGGAATGACTGCATTTTTTTATCCTGAGGAAACAAGTGGAAAAAAGGCATGAGTAGTTTTGCATGTTTGGCTTTTAGAACAATTTTTTTGACAGTTCTTTTTGCAGTTTGTAGAAAAGATGTTAGGTTGTTAAAAATGCTTAGGATAGTTGCTTAAAATGTGCAGTAATAGCATTGCCTGGATTGAGTATAAAAGGATTTTTTTTAATGATCAGATACAGGCAGTAAAGTTCTTGCCAGAAGTTGTGGATTTTGGGGGAGGGGAGGATTGGTGGAATGGGGCCTTGCTATCTTGTCCAGGCTGTTCTTGAACTCCTGGGCTTAAGTCACCTCCTGTCTCAGTTTCCGAGCAGCTGGGACTACAGAGGCATGCCACCTTGCCTGGCTCTTGAAATTTCAGTTTTAACCCACTTTTAAGTGGAACACATTCTGGTTTTCAGTTCTGTTTGAGAATTTAGAAGTGTTGTGTTTATAATTATTCAGTTATATTCACTGCTGGCTTGTAAAGCAATAAAATGCTTTTTTTTGGTCTTTGTAACTTAGGGTGCCGCTGTGAAAACTCTTCTGTGTGGAGAATAAATTTTTACTTTTTTTTGAGGTTGAAAACCCAGGAATGATAAGCATGTGTTTTGTAGTGATTACTCTAACCAAAAGATACCAGCCATTGTTGAATGCTTTATTATAAACTGCAAGTGACATTGTGTGATCTGCCTTGATGGGACTTCACTTGATTGGGGAAGTATTTGAGCTGAATGTGTTGCGATACCATGCTGTTTCATACAGCAGAATTAACTTTTTCTTTTGTGGTCCCAAAGATTGACCCCTGGGACTTGCACATGGTAAGCATGTGCTCTACCCTGAGCTATATTCCTAGCCCCCAGAATTACTCTTATCAGTTTTAGAAAATAAAGTAGGTTAGAAAATGTAGAGGTGAAGGAAGGGTTGTTTTTTCATGGATGTATAAAAAGAAAACAAGACGTAAGTATTTGGTGGGATTTGTTCTGTGTTAAATGATAATATAAGTAATGAAGGATAGTTTCATCAGTGTTTTGAGACCTTTACTCATACAGGTGGCTGAAGACATAAGACACTATGAAAGTTGTGTACTCACAAATTACAGCTTGCTTGTTTCTTGATCTGAAGTGAACTATTTGTTTTGGATAGAGCATCATTGCCATGTCTGATACTGAAGTAAGACTTCTCGTTAGCCTGAAATAAATTTTCTTAATATACAGTATAATAAACATTAAATGAGCAAAAATGAATAATCTAGGCTGTAACAACGGTAACAAATGATTAAGATACAATTGCCAGGGCTGGCTCCTTGAGGATGGAGCGAGGGAGAGGTGACCAGCGTCCCCGCCAGGTTTCTTTCCCTGGGTGAAAAAGTGGGTGCTGTTAACTGAGGTGGGAAATGTAGGAGGAAATGCTGCGCCACAGTGGCTGGGCAGCTGAAGCCTTTGCTTGTGGATGCGTTGGATTTGTGATGCTTGTGGAGCAGGTAGGTGAGAAAATTCTAAGTGACAAATTCTCCCGGTAGAATAAAAGGTGAGTCACAAATTGAGGACAAACATTGGTCAACAGCATTGTTTAACCAGGAGGTAGAAGGAATAGAATGCATAAGGAAGTAGAGAAAGGATCTGAAAGGTTGGCAGAGAAAGTGAAGAGTGAAGAGTGGCTTGTCACAGAGACCAGGAGAATAAAGGGTCTTAGGAAGATTTCGGGTGAGAGATTTAAAATACATAATTTCACAGCCTGAGAGCCCAGGACTACCTGTCCGCCTTGGCCATGCTATGCTATGCTATGCTGTGCTGTGGTAGGACTCCAGAGCTTGTAGTCACGGGACACTCTCACTTTTGGTCCCTTTGTATTGCAGATTAGCTGGGGATCTGCTTCACGTTGCCCCTATCTAGGCTCAGCCATTGCCAATCATGGTGTGAGGGGGAAAGAGCTGTGGAGATTCTTACACAAACATCCTCTGGTTTGGAAGTGTGGCCCTGCTACACACAGTAAAAATGGTAATTTTGTCTAGCTTTTTAAGAAGCTACTAACCTGTTTCCCAAAGTTACTGCACCATTTTTTATTCCTACAGTGATGTATGAGGATTCCTTTCTATAAATTAAAATTGAAGGCAATAATAGACACAATGTTGTAATAATAGTTCGTAATGGCTAAATTAACTCGTGAATGGTTGCTATTGGAATTTATGATATACATTATAGCTTGATCTAGTTCGTAAGTGAAGTAGGACTTAGAAAAGCATGGAACTAAGAAGAAGGTCATGGTGGGTAGAATATTGAAACCAAAGCAGAAATATATCCCATTTAATGAGGGTGGGGATATCACTCACTCTAGTGGAGGGAAAAATCTGGCAAGGTTAGAAAAGCCTAAATTGAGTGGTTAGGGAGTTTGGATTTCAAATGATAGACTTTGGAGGACAGTTTTTTGAAGCAGGGAGGGAGCAACTTTGGAGCCAGACAGCCATCCTTTCAAATCCTGCCTGTGTCATGTTATTAATGGGGAGAGACCCTAGTCAGGGAGATGTGTGAGCAAGCTCTTGCTCTTGGGTAACAAGGGTCATATTGTGTAGCTGGTGAAGGGCACAGCAGAGTAAGGTGTAGATAAAGTACACTGCAGAAAAAAACTTAAATCAGCCTGCTGACTGGTGGGGTTGGAATCATAACAGAAGGAGTTGGGAGGAGTTAGAGGTACCCAGGCTTCTCAAAGAATAAATGTAGTGAAATTGCATCTAGATTCTGGGGTAAGAGAAATGCAGTTTTGCAGGTGTTGGGTTAGCTGTATGGTGGGACATAACACAGGCCACGGAACTTTTTGGTCTAGAATTTTAGGAGCCTGGAGTTGAGGGAGTCCTTTAGATAGAGTGGACATATGAGCTTGTGACTGCAAAGGAGGGGACTGTGGGCCAGAAGTAGAGGGGCATGTGCTAGTAATCAATGCAGGGAGTCCCAGGATCTGACTGAAGAGGTCAAGAAGGTGGGAGAGGAGGCAGAGGCCTGTGTCCCAGGCTGCTTAAGCAGAATCTGGGACCCAGGTGCAGCACATGGTATTTTCTTGGGAAATCTTTTACTTATTGTAAGGTTTTGATGGAAGGGAAATAGATGTGAAAACGTAGAGTCCCCAAACAAGAAAGGGGCTCCAAAGAAAATGCAAAGGAAGTATTTTACTCAGACCCTGATATTGGCTACTCACGCTTATCTGGTGTCATTTAATATTAATTAACATTGACCCACTGCCATCTACTCTGGCTGGAGTTCTGCATTCATCCATGGCTGCCGTGTGTTCTGTGACAGAGTGCTGGCCTTGCTGTCGGGACCTACCAGCTGGACCGGTTCAGAGGTTGGAGAGATGCCCCTTCAGCTTCCTCTGCCATGTTCCTGTCGTTAGACCTTTCTTTGCTTACCCTGACAATGGAAGTGAAGCCAGAATATTTCACCGTCAGGAAAAGCAAAGAGTGGGGTGTTTGTTTTTGGTTTCTGGAGAAAGCCTGCAAAATTGTTATCATTCATTAAGGGGATTGTTTTGGGAGCACGGTCAATGCGTTGGGTCCTTCTGCCTGATAAACTATTAGACCCAGACCAACACAACTAAGACTAATAGCCTTTGTTAAAAATAAGTGATCCTTTTAGCTTTACTTCCTGTATGCCCAAGTTAACTTTGAAATCAGCAGGGATGGTTTGAGGTTCTCTTCCTTTGACTGTGCCTCAGAGAGTTCAGCCATCAGTGTTCTTGGGACAAGTGCTGTCGTGGGCACCAGTGGGGAGCCAGCAGGAGTGCTGCCCAGGAGGAGAAGGGTTGTGTGGCCTAAGGTGCCTTTCCCTGTCCGATTTGCAGTCCCGCCCCTCAAGGATGAGGACATAGCTTTCTGTTTAATAAAAGTGGCCAAATGGGTGCCTGGGTTCTTGGCAGCCTGGCCTGTGTCATCAAGCAGCCCCACCTTTCCTTGAACTGAACACTGGAAGTATTTCTCCAGATACCTTCACTGAGGAGAAACAAAAGGAAATGGTTGGCACAGGCAGTTTTGAGCTGACTCCAGGAGCATAGCTTTGATTTCAATCTCCATTTTGAAAATATACTTTGGAAGGAGGGAGGGAATAATTGATACTCCCTGGTACTCTGTCAAAGAGGTAGTAGGGGTGGTAGAGACACTTTTTGGAGGATATTTAAATGTGTATATCATTATTTTGTGGTGGATTATCTTTTTCTTTTCTTTTCTTTTTTTGGTACTGGGAATCAAACTCAGGACCTTGCCCTTTTGAGGCAGGCAGGAGCACCACTGAGCTAAATCCCTGGCCTATCTTTCTTTCCTTTCCTTCCTTTCTTTCTCTCCTTTCTTTCTTTTCTTTCTCTCCTTTCTTTCTTTTCTTTCTCTCTTTCTCTCTTTCATTCTCTCTCTCT